TCTCGCCGCTCTCGGCCGGCAGCTTCAGGTTCTCCAGCTCGCTGAGCGAGCGCTGCAGGGCCGCCCCGTGCTTCGCGATCAGGTCATTGCAAGTGCTCAGATCCTCCAGCTTACTCGAGAGGGTTTTCAACGTGCCGTGCAGCTCGCTCTTGTCTGACTGCGAGGCGGGCTCCTCGTCGCCCGAGTCATCTGCAAAGGGAGGGATGGAGAAAAAACAGTTTCCATGGTTACCCCTGGACCGTACTAACCCGCCAGCGCCGAGGGCAGGGGGACCACCTGCCTCCTCCCGCGTGGAGGCAGCTCTGCCAGGGCTGGGGATCACGGCCACCGCATCCCCCGGGAGCGGAGCGTGGCGTGGAGGAGCAATGCAGGACGTCACCCAGAGCCCGGCAGAGGCATCCGAAGGGCTCCTGTGGCTGTCACTGGGATTTCGTTCAGGGCTGCTAAGGCTGAGCAATGGGGAGTGGCACGGGGATCGGTGTGCTGGTGCCACCGGGGAAGGGCCATGCCTCCCCTTTCCACGCACGGCTATGGGAGCCAGGCACAGTGGGCCCACCTTCCACTGGGACCAAACCTCACGGGGGCTCTGCAAGGTCTGCTTTGGGCAGGATAACTATTTCACCCAAGGGAAAGGTCACAAAGACACAGGGGAGAGTAACAGCCTTTACCCAAAACCATCATCACACCTTCAGAGGGCAGAAAACTCCACGACTGGCATCTCAGGTACAGCAGAAATGGTTATTCCTGCAACTCCAGAACACTTGGGTGACTTAAAACCAGAAAACCAACCCAAAACCAAGCAGCAAGTATAACACAGCACTTCTTCAGATCATCCCACAGCTCCCACGGGGAAGGCGGAGGAGGTGAGCGGCTCTGAGAGGCAGCATTGCCCAAAGCAAACACAAAAAGCAAGAGCAGAGCAGGTCCTGCACAGGGTCTGCGCCCCATCCTTATGTTCAAAGTTTAGCCAAGATTTCTCCGGGTGCACCCAAAAATCACTAAGGCGGCACAGCACAGAGCAGTCCCTTCGTTTCCCCTCCCTCAATCATCACGCCTTGGTTAAAGCGGGGGTGCAGCATGTCACCTTTCTGCGCTGCAAGGAAAAGGAGAAAAGCCCGTACATCACTGATAAGTGAGTGTTTGGTTTTTATTCCTGGCTCATTTGTAAGAGGTTTTGAAATGCTATAGCTATCGAGAGTGATGTTCAGCCATCGCTCGTATCCATTCCACTGCTCTTGGGCCAGCTAAGGAAAGCGAGAGAAAGAGCGCCCTCCATTTAACAGTACCGAAGCAGCATTTCTAAGGCAAGAACCAGAGCAATCTAGAAAATATAAAAGGACCATCAACCCGGAGCACCGCGCGGTGTTGCACCGAGTCTCGTGGCTATGAAGCTACACAGAAAGGATGTGATGTGACAAGGAAGCATAGCCCAGGGACAAGGCTTACCCTACACTGTGGGATTTACCCCAGCTGCCCAAGGACGACAGAAGAAAATTAAAGCCCTGCTGGGAAACAGGGCACTGAGCAAAATGCAAGCAGCTCACGGAGCACTAGGGCAGCATCTCCCAATGCAACCGTTCAGTCTATCTGCAACCCAGCCCCGAGCACCCGCAGCGCACAAACCTCTGATTTAAAAGCCAGGAGGTGAAGTGTGGCTTGTGGCCACCAAGGATGCTCAAGGAATAAATAATCCATCAGTGCCAGCATTCGCAGCACCCACGGGAAGCCAAGTGAGACCTTCCCAAGGAAGGTGAGCAGCCAGGCAAGGTGCTGGGCGCAGAGCTGGCTCCCACCGAAAGGCTGGGGAGCTACTGAGCTGCACGGCCGGGTGGGAACAGCTCCGCTCTCGGAGACAGGACCAGCATTTTGGAAACACAGGCGGCACCAGGGAAGTCTCCAGCACATGTGGAGGAGACGGGCAGGGGAAAGAGAACGGGAACGGGAACGGGAACATGCAGGATTTGAAGGCTCTGTCCCCAGGAGGGTGCACACAGGGACCAGGGCGATGGGCATGAGCTTACACTGCAGGCATCTTGTATGTGCCAATTGCAAAAGATCTAGCAGGAAAATTTAAAACACTTTTCCACCAGTAAGTAAAGTCACCAAAGCCTCCCTAAGGTCCACTTTCTGTTTCAAGTATTTCCACGGTGCCCTTCATCCTGGGGCACACAAAGGCACTGCGGGTCACTGGCAGCGTATACACATCCCCTTGAGCTTTGAATATTGTCTATGTACCTGTCCTCAGCTGGTGCATCTGAAGGACAGAGCACACTGTACTGTGCAGCCGATCCTCTCCAGGAGAGGAACACTGTGCTGTTACTGCTGCTCAGAGCCATCTCCCCAAGGCTTTCCAGGGCAGTCTTGGGTAGAGGCTTGAATCCATCTCCTTTCACAGTCTCCCATGCATCTCTCCTTCGCCATCAAATACAGCATGAGCTTTCACCAGAGCTACTGCCCAGCAAAACAGCTTCCATCTTGCAAGGCTCTGTCTGCAGCCGTTGCCTCCGATCGGGCTGGAAACCTGCTCCTCTTGAGCTGCAAGGTCCATGCGCTGGTCCAGCAGGTCCACCCTGGGGCCCTGCCCTCGTCCCACGACACCGCACACCCCACGCACACCCGCGGGCACCGATCCAAACACAGCCCAGACCTCAGGCGTGCAATCCGCACACCGGGTGGGCACGGGATGGTGGTGGCATTTACACAGCTCAGCCCGGCTAGAGCCACCCATTTCCAGCTCAAGAGGCCCTGGCTCTCTCCAGGCGCGCATCTGCGCTCTCCCCACGAGCATCCCAGCAGCCTCTCCTGGGCTGGGCGAGCTGCCTGCGCTCCAGCACGCGGACGGGAGCCACCTCTCCATAGCACCTGGCAATCTGATCACTAAGGAGTCCCGTCTTCAATGGCCAATTTATAATATGTTATAGTGTTTTATAAAACTACCAGAAGCAGAAGTCAACCACACTGGCTCAGTTTTCATCACAGACACCAGCCAGGCAACTATCACCGCTAACTGTCAAAGAACACCATTACCTCTGTGGGACTCAAGGGGACGAACCAAATTTGGGATTTTTCTGCTTGTAGACATTGGTAATACTTCCCAAATATAATTTTATCTGTTTACAAAGACTGCAAAAATTGTGCCAACCAAGAGGAAGCATGTCTGCCTGTGCCTAGGTAGCATTTAACCCCAAAATCTCTCCTCTCAAAATCCTACCCAAAAATCTGGGGATTTTGCCCATCATTAAAACGCTCCAACACAGGGTCAGCACTGCGCGGCGATGGACGGGCTCCATCCTTTGCCAGGGCATTATTTCCTGCCCGTCGCTGCCCATTTGTCGAGGCTGCGGTAATGATCCCTGCCTGCGTGCTCAGCTCGAGGCAGGAGGCACGAACGCAGCGTGGCCCATTTTTTTTAATCACTGTGCAGAATTATATAAACCCCTCAAAGCCCAGGAAAAAGAGGGAAGGCACCTGGGTCAGACCATGCCAGTCGTGATGCTGCTGGTCCAAGGCTAAGTTAGCTGAGCTGAACATCCCTCACCAGCTCCCCGCCCGCCCCAAAGCTGCCTTCATTGCCATGCCGGTGGGGCGGGCAGCAGGATCCCACCTTCCCCCTCCCGCCTGTGCCCATGGAGGAACGGGGTGTCAGACCCTCTGCTGAGGCTGCAGACTTCAAACGAGACCTTAAGGCTAGATGGTCATGATGCACCCACGGGAGAGCGATGTGCAGTGCTGCCTCAGGAGCGAAAGCACACCCAGTGCAGAGAACAGAAAACTCATTACACGCCTCCCATCCCCGCACCCCTGGTAAGCACATCCCTGTAAACCGGCACTGCCTCCGCACCCGCAGCCCCAGCGCCCAGGATGCACAGAGCCCTGGCCCAACTCACGCTTCTGTGATTCACAGTAAAATAAAAATATCTCAAGCAACATAATTTGCCGTAATTACTTCAAATCAAAGCACAGGAAGAAGGAAACACAATGTTAAAGCTACAATCAAATCAGAGCAAGTTAAAGCAGAAACGATCACGCAAAGCACCCAAACCACCTCACTGCCACCCACCAGGGCGAAGCACTGACACCAGCTCTGAAGATGGGTTTCCAACCCCCAATAAATGCTGAAACACCTCCCAGCGCTGAAACACTCTGCTCCTTACTGCCCCCGCAGCACCAGCACAGGCCAAGCAGCATCGATCGAGTCCCAGGAAACTCCTGGTCCCTCACTTCGCTCCCTGGAGGTTTTTTGACTGTAAAGACGGTTATTTGTGAAATCCTGGCTCTGGGAAAGCCGAGGTTGAATGAGGTCTTGGCTTCACCTACAGGTGCAGCACTGGGAAAAGCATCCTAAAAGGGCCAGGAAAAAGCAAACCGCAGCCCCGTGGGGACCACCATCACGAACAGAAGAGCAGTGTGTGCTCTTCTTATTATTTTTTAAATTATCCTCATGTTTCCTCCACTCCATCCTTCTGCACTTGCTCCACACGCAGCGCTCACCGGAGACTTCAGCATCCTCCAGTGCCGGGCTGCCAGCAGCACGCTCCTCTCCAGCCCAGGGAAGGGAGGCGTGAGGACCAGAGGCCTTTCCCCTTTCTCCTGGGAGCCCGAGGGAAAGCTGACCAAAGCCAAAATAAGCAGAGACACAAATCCGTCTCCTTCCTCAAGCAACCACCAGCCTTTCAGATCTGCACCAGCTTTAGGGAACGTTCCTGCTTGTCCCGGCGGCACAGCCGGGAGGGGGGGGACAGGGTTGTCCGGGGTCTGGACAACCCCTTGTTTGCCCATCTGGGGGACGATGGTCTCTGGGAAGCCACTTTGCTGCGGCAGCACAAGACCCACCAACACCTACGGTTACTGCTGAAGGTCATCTGTAAAGTGCTGCAGGAGAGAGGAGCAGCAAAACTTACCCTGATTGCTGAGGATAAAGGATTCACTCATCCAGAAAGGTGAAACAGCCGCAAGCCATTGCCTGGAGGTCTTCACTTGGAGCACGGCAAAATGCCGGGGCGTTGGGGATCCCTCCCTCCTTCGAGCCTTTGTATCAACTCAGCCAGGAAAAAAAAAATGGATTTTGCTTTGCTAAGGCTGGTAAAACACCCCAAAGGTCAGGAAATACCCACAGAGAGAAAGACTATGTCCAGGGCTCCTCATTCGAGGACAAAAACCGCAGTCAATTGTTAGAACCAAACCTGCAA